CATCCTGTAAACAGCCTCTGCCGTCCTGCACTAGTGACATCGTTCAGAGAGTCTGTGCAGCAGGTATGGGCCTCAACAGCAACTTTGAAGCCGTGCGGTTTAGAGAAGACCTTGTTTCTGTGGTCTATGAGTGGGCTGTGTCCTCTGTTGGTGCTGGTAGTGGTCAGTGAAATTTGTTTTATCGAGTCCAAAGTCACCACAGGTGTGCACCAGGAGATTTTAGACCATTTCATGCTTCCACCCACTCACAAGCTTTATGTAGAGAGAGCTCTCCCTACCCCACAGCGCCCAAACGACTACCAAATGATTCGCTGACCATATTATCACAATGTTACTACCGCGTGAAGGCCCCTATAACAGCAACCTGGGATTCAACAACACCTCAGCAGTGCCCGATCTGATCACCTCCATCCCAGCCCACAGTGATGCAGTGATATGCAGGCAGCGAGTTTAAAAATGAACATACTCTCCAGAGGCTGGACCGATCTTCGGGGTTCAGATAGATTTAAAAGCTACGTTATTTACATCACTGTGTAAAGAGCTGATCTCTCTAATAGGGTCATCTCAGGCACTCGGCTCTGACAGTAAGCCACACCCACCCGCTGTTCACATTTTCTGCTAAAGAGGGGCAGCCAATTAAGAGCAAGACGTCTTAAAAGAGGGAGGAGGGAGCTAACAGGGCTTGTTGCAGGCAGAGGATGAAGTGAGGGGGTGCACTAAGGCCCGGTGTAAGATAATTAAGGATTATGCAGTTCCCTGCCTGTGTGTCCTTTCTGCTTGTGCTCTACATTCACCTTTACTCTTCAACCCTCTTTTGTGTTTATTCTGTCCACAGGGAGGTTTTCAAAGTTTGATCAGACCCAATGAAAAACTGCTTCCTCCTTAAACTGCTGTTGTAAAATTATTTTTCAAGGCATTGTTTTTTAGGTTACAGCTGGGCATTTTTGACTTACTACTTTACTTTCCATGCATCTATTGTCCCTATTGTTGTTCCTCCAACCAAAAGACGCATTCAAAGCAAGGAAAAACCCTGACAAGAGGACGCTTTTCAGGAGAAGTCTCACAGCAGGTTTCAGCCTGAAACTTGGGCCTTTTCACATGCACAAAGACTTTGTGTTGTTAAGCAACACTATTCACTGTCTATGACCAACACCAAGATTTGGCCAAATGACCAGCTCACTATGTGAGTCACATGTTCTGGGAATGTGGTTAATGCCGTCCTTGGTTACCATAGAAGCAGGAAGCAGGAAATACTACAATAATTAAAGCACTGGATAAATTTGTAGAGTGGCATATGTGATTCATTTTGATGAGAGAGCCACGAAGGCACCAAGGGAGGTGAGAACAGTAAAGAAAGCACAGAGAGAAAGTGAAAGTATAGAGTTGGGAGAAGGTCAACAGCGGGTGAAAGTGAAATAAAGGGTGAGACGAGGAGGGGAATGGGAAAAGAATGTGTGTAAGAGAAGCAGAAATAT